TGCAAAACATCACCGGACATCTTTCCCAATCTCCACATACAAACCTTCCAAACCATTCATATGATACATAGCGACTTATGGGGTCCCTCACGAATCCCCAATCGAACTCATGCAAAGTGGTTTGTGATGTTCATTGACAATCACACTTGACTTTGCTGGGTATACCTACTCAAAGATAAGTCTGATGCTCGCTCTATATTCATTAATTTTTATGCCATGATCCAAACACAATTTCAGAAACACATCCAAACTCTACGTACTAATAATGGCACTGAATACTTCAATACCACCATGGGCGATATTCTCCAATCCCATGGGATCATTCATCAAAGCTCTTGCGTCGACTCCCCACAACAAAATGGGATTGCCGAACGTAAAAATAGACACCTTCTAGAGGTTGCTAGAGCATTGATGTTCACTTCTAATATGCCAAAAATGTTCTGGGGAGATACCATACAGACATCCACCTTCCTCATCAACAGGATGCCAAGTCGAACCTTAAACTTTAAGTCTCCTCTCCAAACACTTCAAACATTTTATCCTACCTGCTGCCTTAGCACCAACCTTCCCTTACGAGTGTTTGGATGTACTGCCTTTGTTCATGTTCATCGCAGCGGTAAACTTGATCCTCGAGCTATTAAATGTGTTCTACTCGGTTACTCTCCTACTCAAAAGGGCTACAAATGTTATGATCCCTCCACCTAAAGACTCTTTGTAAGCATTGACGTCAACTTCTTCGAAACAACCCCGTATTTCAAACAAACCTCTCTTCAGGGGGAGACACTACATGAAGATCGGTTCTTTGAATTCGACCTTCATCCTCCTCATCCTACATCTACCAACAATCCCATACTATCTAATATGCCATTAATAGAAGAAAACTTACAATCAGGGGGAGATGTTGAAAATCAAAGTAATAAAGAGATGTTGGTTTACTCACGGAAGCAAAAATCAAAGTAAAAAGAAATCATCACAATTGAGGCACCAAAAGAGTCCGAACCGATGATAGTTCCACATGACGTTTCAGAAATCCCTAACCTCCCTATTGCTCTCAGAAAACATACTCGGTCATGTATTCTCCATCCTATTTCTAAATTCATGTCTTATAATGCTTTATCTACTGGATTTCGTGCTTTTACATCTCACCTTGATAGTACAAAGATCCCGAGAGATGTTTAAGAGGCTCTAAAAACCCCTAAATGGAGGAAAGTTGTATTGGAGGAAATGAGGGCGCTAGAGAAGAATAAGACCGGGGAGGTATTGGATCTACCGAAAGGAAAGAAACCGGTTGGGTGTAAATGGGTCTTCAATCTAAAATACAAAACAGATGGGACAATTGAAAGGTACAAAGCTCGGTTGGTTGCAAAAGGATACACCCAAACATATGGCATCGACTACACAGAAACTTTTGCACCAGTAGCAAAATTGAATACTGTTCGGGTCCTTCTATCCTTAGCAGCCAATCTAGATTGGCCGTTACAACAACTTGACATTAAAAATGCTTTTTTGAACGGAGAGTTAGAGGAAGAAGTTTTCATGACTTTACCACCAGGGTTCAGTAGAGGTAATAAAGAAAACAAAGTGTGCAAACTCAAGAAGTCTCTATATGGACTCAAACAGTCACCGAGAGCATGGTTTGATAGATTCGCAAAAGTGCTAAAGAGTCAAAGATATCGACAAGAACAGTCAGATCATACTATGTTTTACCAACATTTTAATGATGGGACTAAGACAATCTTAATTGTTTACGTTGATGATATCATTCTGACAGGAGACAATGTGGCAGAAACTGAAAGACTAAAGAAATGCCTCTCCACTGAATTCAAGGTGAAGGATCTGGGACAAATGCGATACTTCTTAGGAATGGAGGTGGCAAGATCAAAAAATGGAATCAGTGTTTCACAACGAAAGTATGTTATTGACCTCTTAACCGAAACTGGGATGCTAGGTTGTAAGCCTAGTGATACACCCGCCGAAGCAGGAAAAAGACCTGAAGAGGATGGAAAAGAGGTAGAAATAGACGGATACCAAAGGTTGGTTGGGAAGTTAATATATTTGTCACACACTAGACCAGATATTGCATTCGCAGTTAGCCGCGTGAGTCAATATATGCACTCACCAAAGGAAAGTCACTTAGAAGCAGTCTACAAAATACTACGATACCTCAAGGGATCCCCAAGAAAGGGACTTTTTTTAAAAGGGGTGAAAGAAAGGAGATTGAAGTCTTCACAGATGCAGATTGGGCAGGTTCGATAGAAGACAGAAGATCAACTACTAGTTACTGTACCTATGTGTGGGGAAATCTTGTAACTTGGAGAAGTAAAAAACAAAATGTGGTTGCCAGAAGTAGTGCTGAGGCCGAGTTCAGAGCAGTAGCACAAGGAATTTGTGAAGGGCTGTGGTTGAAAAAGCTTGTGGAAGAATTACATGTTAAAGCAGAGTTTCCCATCAAGATTTACTGTGATAACAAGGCAGCAATCAGCATCTCTCTTAATCCAGTTCAACATGATCGTACCAAGCATATAGAGGTTGACAGGCACTTCATAAAAGAAAAGGTTGAGGAAGGAATCATTTGCATGACTTATGTTCCCACACAAGAGCAAGTTGCTGATATTTTTACCAAGGGGCTATCTCGACCAAGCTTTAATGATTTCATAGGCAAGTTGGACATGATTGACATCTATGATCCAACTTGAGGGGGAGTGTGGAAACCGGATCCTATCAAATAAGGATAGGAGCCAAATTGATTATGTTTTGATTATGGGATATTTTCATTCCATAATTAGTAGGATGTAAATATGTACTGATTTCTTTCTTACTTTAGGGTATTAGGTTTATTTCCTTATTTACCTATTCCTGTAAATTATATATTGTACTAATTTCCATTGAATAATGATGAAGGAATTTATCACAATTCATCTTTCTATACAAAATATTGGAGACCTGCTAAGAGATTCCACATGGATAACTATCTGAGTGTTAGTGGTTAATCTCTAACGTTCGGTAGTGGAATTGGTCCTTTGACTTGAGGTCATCATGGTACCTTATATGAGGACAATCATATTTTGGTGGTGTTGGATGTTGCTCTGCCAAGGATCGCTAATACAACATCGTTCGGGTATGTCAAGAATCATATGAATGTTGTGAATGATCAATAGAGGATTCGTCANTCAAACAAGGATTTCACAAGTATTAACCGTATGACATACACTCCACAGAGAGAATTGAGCAATGGTTATTGGAAACTTTTAATAGCATCTCTAGCTAAGTAAATAATTTTTATTTTATAATAATTAAAAATAAGTAAATTATTTGTTCTGATTTGATAAGCAGGAGATTTTATTCAAAAATAATACTTTTTTTGCTAGAAAATAGTGTAATGATAAAAAAAACTTTATTCAATTTTAAAATGAGAACGACCATATTCTTTCTGCATTTGCTAACAGTTAAGGTGTTCTCTTTTATTTATTTATATATTCTGGGTGGTCCAGTTGATAGGGTATTATGTACATAATTTTTTACCTAATCTTTTACATCTCACTCACATTTGGAAGTGGGGACCACGAGCCGCATTTTTTAAA